CACTTTATGGTCTGTTCTTACTCTTAAGTCATAATGACAGAGCAATCGCTGCCATTAAGTCCCCTGTTCTGGTAGTTCTCTCTGCCCCTCTTCTTAGTTCTTATCGCTGCCCATCAATGGATGGCAAATTGAATTTGGTCTCCTGCTTATCAGCTCAGCCCCAGATTCCATGTTCTTCCATTCCATTCTTTTGTTTAGCAATCGGAGGAAGAGTCGCTGAATGTCGCTTATCTGGTATCCCAAATCCCTGCAAACGATATCAGATATCGCGGCTCTTGTGCCAAATATTTCACAGATAACAAAAGTGGGACTGCGACCAAGGAGGAGCAGACACGACACCCAACCCAACCCAATCCAATCCCATCCCAGAGAGAACTCAAGTACGTGCTTCTTTCCAAGCGAAATGCTCGGAGGGAACTTTCCCCTGAACGCTGTACACTGTACTCTGTACAGGGCCAAACTTCAGTCCATTTTGCAGTCGAACAACGCTTCAGGTCTCTTCGGGTTACGTGTGTTGTTTGGGTTGTTCTTCATTGTACTTCGTGTGTCACAGAACGATAAAAATTAGCTCATGGGACTGGGACAGACGTTGGACAGCCAGCTCTTGGTCTTGTTCTAATCCACGTCTCATGTTTACACGTGTGACCAATTCGCTGTCCATTGCACGATGAATGTGGTTTTGTTTTCATTGGTTGGGTCGGTGGTTGTTGGGTTGTTGACGCCGCTCGGCGTGTTATCAACGAAACCTGACCAGAGCTTTGAAATGGTAGAAATTTATTGGTTTACAGCGCTCACAAGTTCAATTGGTTTCGGGCTTTGGAATGGCTCCGCACGCCCCTCAGACATGACTCAATGCAGGGCATTAATCATGCGCCAAAAGACCAAACATATATGTATGTACATATATATTGAAGATATAGTATACACATATAATACCTCTGAATGTTTAAACGAACAAAGGGTGTTAGAATACTTTTTGTTCAGCATCGCTGAGCAGAGATACGAAAAATTGAAAAAAAAAAAAAGAAAAAAAACAATACTAAAGAAACAAAAACGAAAATTACTTTTCTACTAATTGCAACTCTGGCACTGCTCTCTGAGGTCAGCAGGTTTTTTTTTTCAGAGGGGATGGGGATGCCAGCAGCAAATCATTTGCTTGGCCAACAGACAAGTCCAACACAATGCACAGGAAATTCGCATTTACTCAATGCCAGAGAAAAGCCAACAATAAACCGAAATAAAAACAACAAAAATTGCTATGCAGCACAAACATTTTCCTTTCTATTGTACTGAGGAATTTCCACAGAGCTCTGGATTGAGTAATGATGCCAAATGGGGTGGGGACAGCGGGGTACAGGACAGGCAGATGAGTTCTCGGATTAAAAATCTCTCACCAACCAATTTCATTCTTTTTCTAGAGTTCTAAATGAGAAAAACGTGTAGCTTAGTCGAGTAGAGATTTATTTTAATTTTTCTCTGGAAACCAAACTTGGCCATTATCTTAGAACAACAATCTATATTTTCCAAGGAAAAGCTACTAGTTAGAGACAATGCACTAATACAATGCACTAGCTTTGCACCCCTAGGATATCCTCTCAGTCTTTTTTTAAGAACATTTTCTGCTCTTCCCTTTATCCCATGTATAATAAATATTTCGTCAGCTAATAATCCACACCCAATTTGAAGACCCGTTGTGAGTTTTGGGAATAAAACCCTCATTAACTCCGCCATTTCTGCCCCTCCACAGAAATGGCTCCACTCATTGGGATCATTGCCAGCTCAGTTTGTCTGAGAACCGCTCATTGACATAGCTCCATCGACTATTGCATAACACCTGACAAATGCAAAATGCATCGCCTATGACGATGCCGCTGCCGCTGCCGATGTCAATGATGATGATGGCCTCAAGTGAAAAACACTCACGCAAACACGCGACGCACTTGGGGTATGGGCCTGCGACTGGGCTGGGGGTTCATTCGGTTGGGTACTTTACTTTAATAAAGTGCAGTCCAAATTGTGGGCCATCAGGGTATACCCTCAAAGGGGGTATGTTGTTTAAATGTTTCAGAGCAGAGAATCAAATTGATCAACGCTAAGATCGCAGCTGCTATCGGAAACATCGATCTTCTCGAGTGTTTTTGGCGAGATAAATATTTTTTGTATTTAAAAAAAAAGGTTAGAAATAAAATTTGTATATCCACGCATCTATTTAAGAGTATCAATAGCTTCGCACCACAAGACTAGCTTTCCCTTCTTGTTGCTTTTGTTGCTGTGGTTGTTGGTGGTGCCTCTGTGTTTGCTGCTGCTGCTGCTGCTGCGGCTGGTGCTGGTGCTGCCTCTGCTGCAGTTGCAGCCACCGTGGCGTCAATTATCGCCGCTGTACGCAAAGTGGGGCAGGCAAATAATAAAAACGCGCCCAAACGCAGTCGCCGTCAGGCTCAAAGCACTTCATTGTCAAATGAGCTTAAACACGCCCCTGGAGTGCCCCTGCCCCTGCCTCTGCCACTGCACCTACCACTACCAATGCTCTCTGCCTCTGCTACGGGCTGCATCTCCATCCGCCTCTCGATTCTCGTTTTTTTTTTTTATTTATGCAGCAGCTCCAGCTCTCTTTGCTGCGCTCCAATCCTCCTACTCTTTCCTGTGGAGGGTATATTTATTTTTAGTTGGCTGTTGGAAAATATAGGGGCTTTTTTTTAATTTATTTATTTTATTTTATTTCATGGTAAATGCGGGGGGGGGGAAATTGTTAGAGCAGCCAATGCAGACTACAGAATTATTTGATTAGTTTTCTTTTTTTAAAGCCTCTCTCCAATGATGAGATCACACCGAAATGCTTGACAGGAAATGGCCACACAGACACCGACAGCTTTGAGGATTCTACGAGAATACAAGAACGCCGAAGGACACAGCCAGTTGCTCGGTTTAAGGTTAAAAAATATTAAAGGGTATTTTTCCGATTTAATCAGATTTTTCTTACTTAACTTTTGGCGCTGTTTTGTTCGCCGTTTTCACGCCTCACTGGCCGCCTTGTTTGCCTCGCTCGCTGATTGATGGCGACTGCTGCTTCGACTTCAGTTCCGTCTCGGACTCTGGGGCTCCGTCTCCGTCCGTGTGTCCGCGCAGGTGTCGCCGCCTAATTAAATGAAGGCAACGCTCACGCATGCGTAACCCAATCGACAAACAGTGGAAGCAGCAACAGCAGCAGCAGCAGCACCAGTGGCAGTGTCAGAGGCAACCGCAGCATTGACTGGGGCACCTCCTCCTCCTCCTCCTCTCGCCATCTCCTCCATGTCGCCCTTCGCGACGCATTGTTGAGAAAATGGGTCAATATGCAATTATTGCATTTTTCGCTCTGTGAGAGGCCCAGCTTCGCCGTCACTTGCGTCACACATGAAGTTCGCAATAATCATAATATGGCTACTTCACTTGGCAAAGCAATCAAGCCGAGGCCCCCAGAGCTGTTGATTTTGTTAATATTTGCCCAATGGCCTTCCCCGCCAGATTCCGCCACTCCCACTGCTGACCCCCCACCCCTCTCATTTTGTGTAGACCGATGAGAGCCGCAACCACGCCACACCATGCAACACAAAACCATAATCGATGCATGGGCTCCATGCAGGCACAAGTTCTGTAAGGTGCTCGTAATGAAGCGACGCCAGACTTGTCAGCGAAGCAAATCTGTTCGATGTGCTCCAATTTAGGCGGGGGAACAAGATTCTTTCACTCTAGAGATATGGAGGTTAAATGCACCATTGCCAAAGAGCAAAAACGACCGGTCGAACGGACCTCTACTAACCATATCGACCCAGCTAGTGATGGCTAACAATAATATATATAATTTATGGGGTCGGTAGCACTCCCTTCTGGGTGTGCACTATATATATGTACGTGTATAGCCCTGCAAAACACCCGCCCAAGAACCCGCCCAGGAAACCTTCTTCTCGATATCACCTTTTAAAATAATGTCTAAATGTTTTTTTCTGTTGTTGTATAAAATGCTTTGAATTTCGGCTCCGAATTCAAAATTCTAATTTCTTTTGGCCCTCCACCGAACCAAATTTTAGTGTGGGACATTCGGCAGTATGCGAGCCTTGTTAAATGGGGAAAAATATCTAAGTTTGGTAAGACACGAAAGAGGCCTCCACTGAGCGAACCTAATGCTGGAACCACCCTAGTTCAGGAATTGCAAACGTTTCTATAGCCAAAACAAGACAATGCTGCCACACAAATACCTCTACGAGTCGGTGCGAGCGCCAGTTCACTCCAAGTCGGTGCAGAGCAACAAGATTACAGCATCCCATAGACCCTTCAACTGGAAGGAAATACTTTGGCACAACCCGAACCTGGCCACGACAATCGGCAGTGTGAGAAGGGCGTCTGGCAAGTGCAAGGGTCCGCCAAAGGGTCCGCCCACGGAGAAGTCGCCCTCGTTTTGCGAGCCCACTCCAGGCGAGCCACCGTGCTCGGCGGATCCCCCACCAGGCGAGAAGGTAGCACCGCTGCCAGAATCCAAGCCACCACCAATTAACAAGGACTGTAAGCCGTCTGACGCGAAGCTTCCTTGTCCGAAAAGGGAACCCCGAAAGGAGAAGAAAAAAAAGCAGGCAACCGCAAAATCTGAGAAATCCAAATCTGCAGCACCCAAAGATGCTGCACCCAAAGCGGCTGAACCCAAGGCTTCTGCACCCAAACCATCTGCCATTCCGCCTCCGCCACCACCTCCTCAGGTGCCCGTAGAGAAACCACCGTCGCAGAAGCCCCCAGTTGGAGCCGAACCATCGTCAGCCAAACCCACTCCCACTCCCCCACCTCCGCCTCCGCCACCGCCTCCAGCAGTCCGAAAAACACCTCCACCAATGCCTCCGCCTGCAGCAGCAAAACCAGAAGTCACACAGTACAAATCCGCAATGCCCAACTCTCCTAGTCCCTGTGAAAAGCCACCAAAGCCGAAAGAAGGAGCGAAGAAAACCCCACAAAAGTGCAAGGCTCCCGCCAAAAAAGAATCGTGCCAGAAAGAAGCTAATCCCTGTATGTTGGCATTTATGGAAAGGAATCGTCTCGAAGGTAAAACGCCACCAAAGGGAGGCTGTTATGCGGGCAAGTCGTCCGCGAAAGCAGCAGCCAGTCCTCGAGGCAAGCCGCCGCCCAAAGAAAGAAACCACTTCCGGAAGCAAACCCCCTCCCAAAGAAGGCCCCACTTCTTGTGGCAAACCCTCTCCCAAAGAAGGAGCCTGTCCGGGCAGCAAGCCCCCATCTAAGGGACCAGCCCGTCCTGCGGGAAAGCCCCCATCTAAGGGACCAGCCAGTCCCGGGCAGTCATCCTCTTCGCCAGCTGCCAGTAAGCCAATGACCACAGCGGCAATTGCACAGCCGAAAGTCACGGCTCCACCCCCGCCTCCACCTCCACCACCGCCACCCGCACCACTGCGGAAAGCAAAGGTTCCCCCAGCCCCAGAGCCCAAGGCACAGTCTCCTCCCAAGCCCCCACCCCCACTACCGCCGCCTTCCGTAAAACCCTCGGCCAGCCAGTCCACCCAAGCCGGAGGCGATCAGTGCCACTGCGAGGCACATAAAGCACAGCTACTGTGCCAGCCAGTGGTGCCGCTGAAGGACACCATCCAGCGGTATCTGTGCAGCATACAGCCGCACCTGAAGCCCGACGAATTCCTGGAGGAACAGAAGCTGACCCTCGAGTTCCAAGACGGCGAGGGTGCGAAGCTGCAGAAGCTGCTGGAGGACGTGGCCAAGTGCAGCAGCAATTGGCTGACACCACGCTGGACAAATGCCGCCTACTTGGGCTACAGAGCACCGGTAACCATCTTCTCGAGTCCATGTTTGACCCTACCCATGCAGAACTTTAAAACCCATCGGGACTACATGCTGTTCACGGCCAAGGTCATCTACGGGATGTGCGAGTTCAAGGAGCTGGTGGACAACAATGGCATACCCGTGGTAAAGATGTGCTGCCACGATCTGGACAACAGTCAGTTCAGGAAGATCTTCGGCACGGTACGAAAGCCGGGACGCTTCTGCGATACCATCGAGCAGTATCCGGACTCTCAGTATGCGGTGGTCATCCATAGAAATAATGTGCGTATATGTCTTCCCCTGTAAATCGAAATACTAAAACCCTTTCGCAGTTCTTTAAGCTGCCTGTTTTTGGTGCGGACTGCAAGATTGCTCATGTCCACAGCTTGGCCGATCAACTGGGTAGCATCCTGCACTGTCCCATGGAGCGGGGCCTGCCCATTGGCCTGCTCACCCACGACAATCGCGACAACTGGGGCGAAGCCTATACTTATCTCTGCGGCTCTGAGGGCAACAACGAGTCCATTGTCCACGCCATCGAGCAGTCGCTCTTCATCGTCTGCCTGGATGACCGTTTGAAGGTGCCTGAGAAGGGAGCTAGTGCCGTGCATGCCGCCCAGCTCATTCATGGCGGCGGAAGCCACCAGAACAGCGGCAATCGCTGGATGGACAAGACGATCCAGCTGATTGTCAATCCGAACGGCATGGCCGGCTTCTGCTATGAGCATGCACCCGCCGACTGTCAGCCGCTGGCCATGCTCATGGACTTTGTGCAGGGCAAGATGTAAGTCTTAAAACAGGCATTTTACAGCCGACATTCTCGACTATTTCGATCCTGTTTGTCATGTAGAGCTGTAGAACCTGAGAGCCGTATCCCTTTCATTCCCCCTTTTTAGAACTCAACCAAATTATGGCTGCCAATGCTGCACCGCTTCCAAAGTGGAGCCAGCCACGGTGCTCTGCTTTGATCGCTTCAACCAGTGCACGGAGCTGTACCTGTGCGAGGCAAGGCGAAACATTGACAAAATCAGCAGCCGGCTGCAGTTGCACGTCTTCAAGTACGAGTGTCATGGAAAGGACTTCATCAAGGCGCAAGGTTTGAATGCGGACAGCTACATACAGATGGCCCTGCAGCTGGCCTACTTCAATCTCCATCGGAAGCTGCCGGCCCAGTACGAGTCGGCCCACTTGCTCATGTTCGAGGAGGGACGCACGGAGACGGTTCGCTCCACGTCGAGGGAATCTCGAGCCTTTGTCCAGGCCATGACCTGCTCGCCGGGCTCCAATAAGAAGCGTCTGTTGGCGCTCCGCACCGCAGTGGACTCCCACCAGGAGCTGACCAAATTCGCACTACAGGGACGGGGCATCGACCGTCATCTGTTGGGGCTGCAGCAAATGGCCAAGGAGAATCGTCTTCGAATGCCCAAGTTCTTTCAGTCGAAGGGGTACGTGAAGTCCGTCAGTTTCCAGGTGTTCAGCTCCCAGGTGCCCAGCAGACATGATGCCTTCATGGCGTACGGACCCCTGATCGCCAATGGCTATGGCTGCTGCTACAATCCACGCGACAGGGAAATGATATTTTCCATCTCGGCATGGGGCTCCAACAAGGAAACCGATCCCGTGCTCTATGGCAAGGCGATAGAGAAGGCCTTGGACACGATGAGGAAACTGGTCCTCCAGACGGGCGGTGATCGAGTGGGCGAAGATGTCTGCAAATGCGCCGATGAGAAGCCACCCAAGTAGAGCTATCCTATTGAGTGTTCCCACACCCCTCAGGGCAAATACACTTTCGTAATCTTTCACTTTATTTCTACCCAAGACGAGTACGGGTAAGGGTACGGGTAAGGGTACGGCTACGGGTACGGCTACGGGCACGGCTACGGGGTATGTGCATTAGCCGAGAGCCACTTTAAGCGGACTCGGGTTCAGGGTCAGGGCCGGGCTTAAAAGCTACAAAAAAAACATATTACTCATGCACGAAAAACGCTCACCTCTCTGGCAAGGCCCGGCCCGACCCGACACGACACGATCGTCGCAAGAACTTTGCTGGCCAATCGAGAGAATATTAGCCTGACTCAGGGACAGTAAGAGATGGAGAGATTGTGTCGCGAAACAGAGAGAGAGACAGTGAAAGAGATCACTCAAGTACAGCCAGATCATCTGAACGCCCACGGGGCTCGAGGGGAGATCAGTCACTTGCTAATTAATAAGTCAGTCGAGTCAGCTGCAGTAATATATCATGCGACATATAGGGGAAGAGAGATTAACGGAGATATATATAAAGAGAGAGAGACAAACTCAATCGAAGATGAAGACTTCTGCCAAATCAGATCATCATTCCAGCATCATACGAGTACTCCTCCCACTCCCGCCCATCCGCTGGACGACTGACCCACTTGCCTCATGAATGCGGCGCCTTCTTCTTCTGCCGCGGGGGCAAAGAGTCAACCCCAGCCTGCTGTCCCTTCCCCCTCCATTAGCTGCTCAGTTCTTATGCAACATTTGCAGATGCAGTTCGTTCTTCTCTCGGTTCTCGGTTCTCGATTCTCGATTCTCAGTTGTGTGCTCTTTTGCCGTTTGCAATTTTATTGCTAAATTAAGTAATTGGTCCAAGAAGCAACTGCAGAGCTCCTCCATTCCCATCGAACCCCCCTCCCTCTCTGGATGCCCTGCATTCGCTGTGGATTCTTGCAATCTAAATGTTGCTCCGCCTGTGTTTGTGTTTGCGTTTGTATCTGTATCTGTATCTGTATTTGTGTCAGTATCTATTAGAACGCTGTCGGCTTCGGGGTATCTGCATCTGTGAATCGCGAGGCGGCGCGCACAATGGGAGGCATGAGAGGCGTGCTCTGTGTTCTTTTCTTTCCTCCGCTTCTCCGTGCGGCCCTACTTCTGCTTTCCATTTCGCATGTATCGTGCAGATGCAGTTTGGACTCGAGGGAAGGCATGGAAAGGGGCTCTGAATGCATGCCGCGAATGACCGAAAACAACAGAGTCAAAGAGGCAACAGATGGATTCGCATATGCATATGCATCTGCATCTGCATTTGGATGTGCTGCAGCTTGCGTAATGCGGCAGCTAGCAGAACGAATCATTCCAGGGAATTGCGACTTATTCCTCTGGCATCATTAGCCATAATTTGGCTGCCTTCTAATTGGGATACTTGACGCTCTGCTTCCCTCTTCCCACATCAGCAAAAAGTGTGATTCACACGGAGTTGGGGATCTGTGTCCGAGGCGTGGTCTCACGTGCTGCTCGTCATCGTCGCTGGCCATAATCTGATCTCATTTTAATCGCAGCTAATGAATGTCAACACTAATTGCCCACTTGAGTGGCGGCTGACTCCACAGAGTTGCCCAGGGGGAGAAGGGACTGCCACTGCCCCCAAACAAAAGAACAAAACTGCCAAAAAACGGAAAAAGAGCCAAACAAAAGGCAAACAAGACTGTCGAAACCTAATTACTGGTTGCCATACATATACGAAAGAGATATCTCTTGAAAGGGTTGTGACTGCGTCACTTGGATGCCATTTAAATGACTTAATATTTACACAAATTTATACAAATTAATTAACCAATTAAGTGAACGTAAAGGAGCAACCATGGGCCAGAGAGCAGTTCGCTTGTTCGCTCGTCCGCTCATTAATCATAGAGCAGTCATCTCTTTCGCTATCCATAAAGGGGCGATCCACACTCTGCCAGCACTAATGATGTGGCAGCTATTTAAATCACAGAAAAACAACCACCTTTAATCACATTTCCGATTCGGATTTCCAATTTTTTTTGTCTTAAGATTTCTCCTATGGTTTCTTTGACAATCAATTCGTGGACGAAGTAATCGATCTTCAATTTGGGTCCCAGTTCCCTTCTCTCTCTCTTGCTCTCTTTATTAACCTGCAGGCATATAGAATAAAATTGAATCTGCGGCCACATGGCGTATGAGTAATCGCGGGCAAAGCAAAGCCTTAAAGCCATTTATGGTGCCCCTGCAGCATCGATCGACTCGCGGGCACTTGGACAACGAATTCGATTCAACGATTCTCTCAGATTCTCCATTTCACTGTCTCTCCGTTTGTCTGTTTGTTTGTTTGGTGGCTTTCGGTTTCGATTTGGAACCATTTGGTGCCTTGTCACGCTACATGCTCCATGCTCCATGCTCCATGCTGCTGCTGCTGCTGCTGCAGTTTGAGCCTCGCAGATCTTTACTTGTATTTGTATTCCAAGTAATTGTCGGTGCTGCTGCCGATGGCTGATGATGTCACCTGTAGGTGGCAGGCAGGCAGATAAATGGAGGTACGAGGTGCCAGAGGTGAGCTTTTGCAGCAGTCATCGTCGCCAGTTGTTGTCGTTGATGGATTTGCTGGCGTTTTGTCTCGTCTCGTCTCGGATTGGATTGCTTTGCTTTGCTTTGATTTTCTTGGGTCTGGTTCTGGTGCGGAGTGGAGTGGAGTGGAGTGGAATGGAGTGGATGCTCTTGTCTTGTGCCTCTGTGCCCCTTGTTTGTAGTTGAGTTCTGTGGTGCTGCTCCTGCTGCTGCTGCGCATTTTGACCAATTTTAGCCAAACTCAATTAGTCTTAACTGATGTTTCGTTTGTATGCTTTTTATAGAATCCCAAGGAGCGGGTGTTCGCTCTGGCTTTATTGCCTTCTGATATCATTGGGGTCAAGGTCAGCGGTGGAATCAGCACCAAAGAGTCAGAGTCAGACAGCAGACCAATCCCAGTCCCAGTTCCAGTCCCAATTTCAATCCCAAAAAAACTCAACGCAAATCTTTTGCCGCTGCGCAATTCAAAGAAAGCCGTGCACATAAATTCAGATACATATACGTATATATACTTAAGCTTGAACCCAAGTTGGAGTCTGAGGCTGGAATCGAATTCAATTCTCCGTCTGGGAAACTCTTTAATTAGCATTGAAATTAAACTTTTTTTTTTTCGGCGGTGCCTCTTTCCTTTATTTGTCGCATTACCTGAGCGACTCTTCCATTCAGTCAACTCTTCCATCTGTACGAACACCCCCTCAAGCCCTGGCCGTTCTCGCTCATTCCAGTTCCAATCCATTCCCACCTCCCCGATCGACCGACTAATTCTTCTTTAAACAAACCGAGGGAGGGGCAGCCCAGAATCTTCCTCTTTGAGTCCGAGAGTCAAAAATCTTCATAAACACGCTAACAGAAAAAAAATAAAAATAAAAATAAATGTTCTTTTGCCGACGACCTTGGAATTTCATTTCATCTGCTTTGCCTGCTGCTTCATTTTATGGCCTCTCCTCCTCGGATTTCTTTATTTATTAATTCGTAATGCCATTTTATGTCTGGCCATTCGGAATCCATAAAAAGTTTCAGTTTTCTTTGACTTTTGTTCGCCAAATATTTGTTCTTTTGTGGAGTGGAATGAGAGCGTTGCCCTAAAAGAATCTTCAGAATGCAAGTACCAGAAGCCCACACAATTTCCACTCTAGTATCTGCAAAATTGCGCAAGCAAACAGACATACTCAGATGCTTACACACATACACACATACACAGATACACAGATGCAAAGATACTTCTACTCTTGCCATGGCGATGCCGTGGCCTCTTTGACTTCATTTTCGTTTTCATTTTTGCATTATTTCGGTTTTCCGCGGCCTGCATTCAGCGCCGCCCTTACATTTCCCCCCTTTTCAGTGGCCGAACTGCATCTGCACGATACATGCGAAATGGAAAGCAGAAGTAGGGCCGCACGGAGAAGCGGAGGAAAGAAAAGAACACAGAGCACGCCTCTCATGCCTCCCATTGTGCGCGCCGCCTCGCGATGCACAGATGCAGATACCCCGAAGCCGACAGCGTTCTAATAGATACTGACACAAATACAGATACAGATACAAATGCAAACACAGGCGGAGCAACATTTAGATTGCAAGAATCCACAGCGAATGCAGGGCATCCAGAGAGGGAGGGGGGTTCGATGGGAATGGAGGAGCTCTGCAGTGGCTTCTTGGACCAATTACTTAATTTAGCAATAAAATTGCAAACGGCAAAAGAGCACACAACTGAGAATCGAGAATCGAGAACCGAGAACCGAGAGAAGAACGAACTGCATCTGCAAATGTTGCATAAGAACTGAGCAGCTAATGGAGGGGGAGCTGGCCTGGGGTTGACTCTTTGCCCCCGCGGCAGAAGAAGAAGGCGCCGCATTCATGAGGCAAGTGGGTCAGTCGTCCAGCGGATGGGCGGCAGTGGGAGGAGTACTCGTATGGTGCTGGATTGATGATCTGATTTGGGGAAATTCTTCTGCTGGGACTCTACCAATTAAGTGCGTCACCTAAGAGGTGTCTCCCCCAATACCTCTCCTTCCACCCCTAAATGTTGTCCGACTCGGCTGAATTTTTAATTAGCGAGACTAAGAAAACGACTGTGTGACTGATCTCCCCTGCAGCCCTGTAGGCGTTCGGCTGCACTTGAATGATCTTTCTCTTACTCTGATCTCTTACCATCCCTCTTTTTCGCACATACTCTCCCCATCTCTTTCTGTCCCTGAGTCAGGCTAATATTCTCTCGATCGCCCAAGTTCTGTTCGGTTCGCTTGAGGGGAGGGACCCGGCCAAAGGTGAGTAATAAGTGAGAGATCGTTTATGGCTCGGCTCTGTGGATGTTTCCACAGAAATTTCCAAGTTTTTAGCTAAATGTTAACCTTGAACTTGACCAAAACAGTGGGACAGAGACAGCCACAAAAAGGTAATGAGCTAGATGGATTAAAATTGTTTGAATTTTTCATCTAACTTTCAGTTGTTTCTTTTTTGCAGTTGCATTTTGGCGCTGCTCCTCGAAGCTGAACATACTCGTATTTAAATGCTGAAAAATATTTCTGCCGTTTGGCTAAATAAATATGAATGCGAATTTTGTTTGGTGGGACCACCTCACCCACAGCGAGAGTCGATGACGATTTTTGTTGGCCTGGCCAAAAAGCAGAAATACGACAAAGTAATTACGTGAATCGGGTGGTGAGAGAGACACGAGAGAAAGAGCGGGGAATCGACAGCAGGTTATGCAAGTTCAAGGCCAAAAACTCTGCATTAATTATAATTATTTTTGCATTTGTTAAGCGCAGAGAAGCAGCAGCAACAACAACAACAACAACAACAATGTTAATTGTCTGGGGGCGCAATGCAAAAGAAGATAAACAGGTAAATGCAGAATTTAACAGCAACAAAAACGTTAATTTTTAACCAAATGTGGTAATTAATTGTGGCCAGAGAGCAGTGGTAGAGTCCCGGGACGTAACCTGCGCAAGGTTAATGCCATGGGCACGTGACAAAGAACTGAACCCCACCTCAGACCAGTAACTGATGTAACCCCACACATAACCCTCGCTTTCCCAGACCTAACAATTCCTCACAAAGCCATAACACACTCTCTCTGTAAGCCCTCGCTGGCTATCCATACATAGCACTTTTGATGACCCAAGACGAGCTAATTTGTATCGCTCTGTGACACACGAAGTACAATGAAGAACAACCCAAGCAACACACGTAACCCGAAGAGACCTGAAGCGTTGTTCGACTGCAAATGGACTGCAGTTTGGCCCTGTACAGAGTACAGTGTACAGCGTACAGGGGAAAGTTCCCTCCGAGCATTTCGCTTGGAAAGAAGCACGTACTTGAGTTCTCTCTGGGATGGGATGGGATTGGATTGGATTGGATTGGATTGGGTGTCGTGTCTGCTCCTCCTTGGTCACAGTCCCACTTTTGTTATCTGTGGAATATTTGGCACAAGAGCCGCGATATCTGATATCGTTTGCAGGGATTTGGGATACCAGATAAGCGACATTCGGTGACTCTTCCTCCGATTGCTAAACAAAAGAATGGCAGAGCAGAGCATGGAATCTGGGGCTGAGCTGATAAGCAGGAGACCAAATTCAATTTGCCATCCATTGATGGGCAGCGATAAGAACTAAGAAGAGGGGCAGAGAGAACCAACAGAACAGGGGACTTAATGGCAGCGATTGCTCTGTCATTATGACTTAAGAGTAAGAACAGACCATAAAGTGTGCTCTCCCTTTGGTTCATGGCTGAGTGGGGCAGTGGGGCCATGGGACAGCCCCCATCCAAGAGTACGAGAGAATAGACGGACACTGTAAGAGATTCAGTGACATAATAAATAAATTTAATCAGTTGGCTGCGTAAAACGCTTCCGTTGTTGTCTCTCCTCCGCTGAGCCGCTGGAATGGAGGAGGAGGAATCCGAATCTGATTCTAAATCAGCTTTATGTTCTGCCTCGACTTCAGCGCGTGGTCTCTCCAGGGGAATGGGCCCCAGCCCCAGCCCCAGCTCCAGCTCAGACTTATTTTGATTTCTTGTGCCTTCGACTCTGACTCTTGGTTTACTTTTGGATTCCACTGTCTCTGACTATCACTGCTTCTTAAAGATGATTGTTGCTGCTACTCGAAGAGCTGCCTCTGTCATCAGTTCATATTTGGAGTGTTTAAGTAGCGTTTATTTCTTTGAGTTCCTCCCGTTTTACGACCTCCTGTATCTCCATCTTCTCTGTGGGGTTATCTCACCCAGACTCCTCATATCTGTGCTACTGCTTCTTGTGTCTGTTCTATGTGGAATCGAAACAATGAAGCTCTGACTTTGGGCCACATGGCGTATGCGTAATCGAGGAAGAAGACTAAGACTGTGTCTGTGTCTGGGGTTCAAGGGGCAATTGTGGTGTGACACTGAGCAGAGTACTCAGAGCCGGCAGCTAACATACTTTTCCAATTATTTGACGCATTCTCACACATATTTCCCTTGCCTTATCCAACGTTTTTATTAACACATTTCATTTTGTGGCTGGAAAACTCGTTGTCGCGAGGGTTTTCCATGATTTTTCCCCTTTCGAAAATGTAGCTTCCCCTTCGTTGATTGTTTGCTTGTTTGTTTGTTGGAGGCGGGCCTAATCCTTAATTAAAATCATGATAATATTTAAAGGCCCAACACAAAAACGCGCGCTTATACCCCGCAAAAGAAAAGTGAAATTTAATGGGGAAATATATTTAATTGAAATTTAAATGCCCGTTGAAAATCCTTTCGGCTGCCGCCTAGTGAACATGTCGGCAATTGCACAATTGTGCGGCTTTAATTATTTACAACTCCAATTTGGTTTACCATATGTTGTCTGAGGGCAAATAATTAGCGAAAGCCAACCCATTTTAATTTAAGTCAGAATTTAAACTTGAAATTGTTTAATTATATAAATGGATACAGCGGATTCTGTACGTGTGACTGTATGGCAAGTGAATTTGCATAGTAATTGCCATTGAAATACACGTAATTAATTGTTTCGTTCGCTGGAAATGAGGCAACATTTTGTTTGTTTTTTGATTGATTTGTCAGAGTTGGAGAAGGTTTCTTCCACTCAGAGAAATATGGCAAAGAAAAAATATACACATCCATATATAAATAAAATATTCGGGTTTTTAATTAAAAACGTAGAGAAGAATTATAAATCAATATTTATTTAAACAAATAATTATTTTAAAATCTATTTTAATATCGGCCATAATTATTCTAAATATGTATAATTGATGCATATTCAAATCTAAGTGTAACTTTTCAATTCTCATGACTTTTCTCTGGGTGTATAGGGGTGGTAGCTAAGGGAATGGGTCGGATGGTTGAGGTGTGGGATATTCAATTAAATTTGTTTGCAAATTAAGTAATGTTTTATTCTGAGGCTAAAGGGTTATCATTTTAAAGTTCAGCACACAAATTTAAAATGAAATGAGGTTCGTAATGAAATATTACTCCTATTATTATCCTATGTTATTCCTATTAAATCAACAGAACTCATTTTCTATCATAAAATTAATAAGAACATTTTAAAGATGATTTTGCACGTAAAGATATTTTACGATTGCTTGGAATAAATCCCCCCGGTGCTGACTATAAAACGAATTTTCAGTCTTATTTATTTGCTTTATAAATTTATTGAATTTTCATCCCTATTTTATACTTAATAAATAAAATTGAAGACATAAATTTTAACAAATAATAGATACAAAATAGTTAGCATCTGAATAAATTCCCCAACAGCCTTGACCCATTTCCACTTTTTTCTGAGATGGCGTCATCTCTTAGTTTAAATATAGAGAGAGAGAGAGAGAGAAACACCCATACATGCTATAACTTTCACTGAATAATATTCTCAGCTATAGATGTCTGTTATCTAGCAATTTATGCTAATATGTCGAATAATAAAAAAAAGGGGAAAAAATCGAACGTTCGAAACATAAATTAGCATATTTATGCGATGGTCAAGCCCAGAGTTCTAATATCAGTGTTAATTACTGAAAACGAATCTTCGGACAAACCAGTTCTACATAACTTAAACAAAAATGGAAACAGTTTTGATTTCCGCATCATGAATAAAATTATATTTGAAATTATATTTTTTTTTAGGGAAATCAAAATTGAATGAGCTGAAATCCCCTGTGGGGTCTATCTGAATCTGAATTAGAAGCACTGTTGGAGTCCTTGTCGAATCCTTTAATTCTGAGGCCATCGCCGCCCCAGTTGCTCTCATCAAAGTTCATGGCTCTGTCATTGCCAATGTTATCCAATGCTGCGAGTCGACTTAGGGCCGCATCGGTGTCGGCACTGTGCACACTATCGCTCCATACAAGCTTCTCATCGCTGTCATCAGATGTTCCTCCTCCTCCTCCTCCTCCGATGTACTGATGTATGCCCGATGCAGCGATCACCGAATAGATTGCTACACAGAGCACCAGAAGTCCGAGAACCAATTTCATTTTTCCCTCTAAGCGCGGGGAACACTTGACTGAATGTCAGTTGTCAGCCACAGAGCTGGGCTTTTATAGCCATGTCTCCGGGTTATCAGCAAAGCTCAATGATTGACATTATGTATGTGCAATAATTCTAGAATCTTTGCCTGGGAAATTCCACAGAAAGCTCCGAGTATATTGACACGCAGTTTACCACAAAGTTAATTGATCTGTGAGTGAGTGTCGGATTTAAGCGCTTGGACTAGCTGGCACTACATTTACATTGACTCTGGAAATTATGTTTACCAGATGATTAGTTAGGAAATAATTTACATAAGCTTTGGGTGTTTCTGGTATTGCTTTCCACCATATAATGAACCTTTCATTCATTTTAATCTTTGTAATTTTAAATACGTATTTGGTTTATCATCTTATTGGCAGGAGCTGGGTCACATCCTTAACACCGTGCAACAAGTAATCATCATCTAGAGAAGTCTTCTCATCATAAACCTCACTAGAGTAATCAGTTCCAGCGATGGACTTCCACCAGAGTTTGGTTCGTTCCTCCATGGCATTCATGTACTGCTCAGCACTGTTGTCGCCACTGCCTGCAGTAGTCTCCACCAATTCCTGGTTAACGGGCTCAAGCACCTCTGGTGGATGTGGCGCTGTCAACACGGCACACATTAATCCACACAGCAGGAATATAATAAAGTAGCTCGCCATACTGTTCAATTAGCTATGGGGAACTGCAGTATTCAATTACATTTTTCTCGTTTTTATAGTTCAACGAGATCGGCGATAGTTCTTCCTCTTCTGGGATTTTCACGACTTGGGGGAATGCACCCAACCCAAAGCGGGTTTTCTTATTGATTGCAAGCTGAGTCAGCAGTGGCCAAGCCTAAACATGCAAAGCGTATACGACACGTTGTCGCCTGCGGTTGTACAGTGATTAAAATAAGTCTACGCTTGGGCTATAGATGATTAAAGTCTGCTGTAGGATAACATTTAGATGCAGCTCTAAAGTGAAGATCGACATTTCTAGTATCTACGTTGAGGCTTTACTTTGCTGTGCACATACTTCTTGCGGAGACTGTCTCCCCCCGTTGGCAGGCCATAAAAAAGCTGTACATAGACCCAACGCGTCGATGCTGCTGGCAACCCCTAAATGACTTGACTACCAACCATCGACCACTTCACTTCGCTTCGTTGCTTCAATCCCTCTTCTGTTGCTCTGCTCCTGTGCTCCTCTGCCATTTTATTCAATTTTCCAAAGCGAGCGAGCACAGTTGCCCCCATCCTACAGCGTACAGCCACCCATCCACCTACAATGTGCTCACGAGGCTAATGCCCTTTTATGGCTTTGGAGTGTGCCGCATCAGCAGAAGCAAAGTTGCAGCAGCAGCCAGCTCCTAACCATCGTACGAACAAGACCATTAGATGCGGCACATTCAGCACCCAGACTACCAGACTCCCAGTTTCGACTCGGATTCGTGAGGCTGCAGCTCATTATACGAGTACACCATCCCCTGAGCGCTGAGAGCAAGCACGGAGACTTGTCTCTAAATATGTTTCACATTTGCATCATCATCATAATCATGGGAGTCTGTGCCCTGGGGTTGTACACCATTGAAATCAACGCTAAGTGTTATACAAAATCAGTGTCATTGGTTTTACTAAGCATTGCTCTCTGCTTTCAGTTTCCTTTATTCCTTTATTATATTTTAATTGATTATTTAACTGAGAAGCTCGTACAGACTGCCCGTTCGGGTCTAACACGAATCACCACACTTTCGGATATGTTATTGACCCTTAGGACTTCCAAAGCCTTTTTAAGGTTGCCTGCTTTGGCGCTCTTATTTCGTGTATAGATTCGAAAGACCACTGGAACAGATTTATGATATATGAAGTTAAATTAAATGTTGTATGTTTGACATACATATTCTTTAACATATTTTTCCAATGAATGATTCTAAAAATCAATTAAATTATGCCAATAAAATAACTTTAGCATATCGGACACTTGTCGAGGCAACTTGCTTTTTTTATACTTACTTAAAAATGAATCGTCATCTTTATCGCATCTGTAAATAACCATAAAGTTGGTATTATCCGAAGAAATTACATGCTCTTCCGTAGCAGATCGGGCAACGATACGGGGCAAAATTTCTATTCAACACAAGGGAAATGTATATAAGTCAGGTTATATCGAATACAATCGAGGAATATTTCCATACTTCTGACACACTTGTCCTTATCTTGGTGTCGATTTTCTCCAAAAGGCGGTGTTAAAGCAGTCATAAACCAATTTCCATAGAGCTAAAGGAAACATAAAATAAAGCTGATATTTTGTACTGTTAAGATTTTTACCATTTTCTGGTCAATCAATGCTACTTCTCTACGCAGCAATTTTGGACATTCGACCACTTTTAGCAGGGGGAGTACTTCATTATGTACCATATCCTTCATCTGATTGTATTTTCTTATATAGATTGCATTCGGTGACATATGGCTCTTACTCATAACGTGACCGTTCACCATATGGAATGCATAGCATCCCAGGCAAGCCAGTACAAATAATATGCTAAAAACGAATTATCAGTATCTGTATATGCTGATGTGGATGGGTATACATATTTCAACTTACATTTCCGGATACTTTTGCATGTTCTTTACTGAAGTGCTGTCTCGAACTGATGCTTGTAATGGGATTTTTTATGGTTTTCTATCTTTAACTGGTAAGATTATGGTTAGCATTAGACACACCGCTTTCTGGGGACTGCTGTATCTAATTAAATATATAGGGTGTGCTGGTAGTACTATATGTGTACACTAAAAAACAAATTCTTTGTTTGAACTTGAATAAAATTCTTGCATTTCAATACTTTTTATACCTACGAAAATAGTTTCATTTTGATGTGTTCTTTTCAATCAGATTTTATTGCCTGAAAAAGTTTCTTTCTACTTTCGGTTTTCGGTATGTTTTCATTGTACTTTCTTAATTTCATTCGATTTTTGTGTAACTTTTCCATTATTCGATCTACGAGTATCTTCCGATTCATGGAGTATTATTATTATTATTATTGCCAACAGTAATAATCAATTTATAAATTCAAATTTATTTTACATGTTTAATTCTCTAAATTTTCCATTTCTTAAACGCGCAATTTGTTTGACAATTATGTTTAACCAATTTGTTAATTTAAAGCCTTCAATACGATATAAAACCTATCAGCAAGCATTTAAACTAAACTTGTTAACGACTTCTAATTGAAATACATAATTTTGTATGGAATGTGCGAATCGTTGAATAGCCTCTGCATTTTGAGAATCTCATCGAAACCAAACTGGATTTTGAGTCTACTACGTTGGACAGCCTCCTAAGCCCACATAAATACTGGCTTAAGTATGTTCGCTTGTTTTCTGTATAGAACCTTAGCAAGTGTCATAAAAACTGAAATTGCCCAAGCACTCTGGCCATATATGTATGTGCGACTGACTGCCAGTCAAACTTAAAATTTCAGTCACACAATGACCTTCACCTAGAAGCCATCAAAGCGTACCCAAGCGGCGGCCCAGCCCCAGCCCCGGCTTGGTCGGAAACCAAAACCAAAACCAAAGCCAAAACCAACTTCAACTTGACGACCAAAAAATATAAAGTAAAGCCAATCCAAATAACCAGACAAAGCCGGAGCAGATCCAATGATGGCCTGCTCACTGCCTGCCTTTTGCTCAGTCGGTCGCGTAATTTTGCTTTTGGACCTACTTGATTAGCACGCTCTGAGCCATGTTTAAACGTGGGCTGTTTAACCAAACGGCAGCCAGACCAGACACCGACCAACCAACAATATTGCGAACAGAATTCGCCTAAAGACCACACTAAAGACTTTGAGGCAAAAAAAAAACGTGCGAGTACGTGCCGCTGATTAGTAAAACAAACAAATTAAATTGGTTTCTGTTTTTGCTGGATCTCTTTGGGCTTGGTCTCTCGGTCCCGCGCTCTTTTGTAGAGCTTGTGGCTAAGAGCTAGACAAAAGAGAGACACTGTTATGAAAGAGATTTGTAAAGAGTTCAAAGAGAATTATGACAGAGCTCAACAAAGAGAAACCCAAGTCACTGAGATGTATTTTACGTATTTATTGTACATATATGGTCTCAGTTTTGTTCGGTTTCTTTGACAAGCTTTAGAGGTGAAAACCATTCATGGAACACATGCAAAAATATTTAATTATTTGCTTGCAATACAATAAATGTCTATCTTATTTGGGAACTAATCAAATAGGGGTAGCAAACTTTGATTGAAAAGGGGACGAACAAGTTGTTCAAACAATTGAAATTAAGTTCTGAGGAGAATTGAAGAAACAAAGCCAATGCGTAGACGGCCTCAAATATTTGCATCTTCAGAAGCAGCCATATAAATTGACAATTCTTTATCTTTAATCAAGAGGTTTAAGATTTCAAACCAAAATCAGAAAATTCGAAAACATCTTTTGTTCTTGGAAATAGAATATTGATAAACAAAACAAAAGTTGACAAAGGTTGGCATACGAAATGTATGGATGAATCTAAAATCTCTTTCCACGTTTCAAGGATAGAAATACGAGTATTCAAACTGCTGTTTTCGCTTAAGATATATCAGCGAATACATTAAAATAAAAGACTCATATATTTTTTAACCATTTGCTCAAAAGAGATTAAAGATATTTTCAACCCAGTTGCATTTTCTTTAGACAACCTTTAGACAAGTTGTTAAGTGTAACCACAATGATTACTAAATTGACTGAAAGATTAACTCTTTTGACCATCAAGGTTCACTTGAGATTGCTTTGATCTCCACCAAGTTGGCGGCTACTGGTCTTGGCTTATAAGCAGGCGGCAGGCACCTGTTGCTCATTGAAATGAGAATTCAAATGAATATTTATATAAGAATTGTTGGCTACCATGGGACTGGGACTGTGATTGGATTGCATTGCATTGTGATGAGGAGAGGCAAACGTCTGGCGCATTCTTGGCTTTATGGCATGTGGCATGGTCTGTGAGAGGAGGCAAAAACAAGGAGGGTCTGTCGTCGTCAATCCAAGCCGAATCAATATGCTGGTCGCGGCTTTGACTCAATTCTTATTTTGTGCGAGACGTCATTATAAACCGCAGCAGTTTTGGATGAAGGGGGATTTAACTTGGGCTAAGCCCATTACTGGACACCAGGTTGGGTAACCAGGCTGTCTCGCGGGCTGATGCTACGGCTGCATTGTTCTCCATGGCGTTCTTAACGAGCGCAGCATGCAAAACAAGGCCCAAGACGCCATTTGGCCAACAGAGACAGAGACAGCCGAGAGTCGCAGAATCGTTTTTATGGTCGATGCGCTCTGTGCATGATAATCATCGGGCTTTGGGTTCCCAATCCACAACTGGGTGACTCTGTCTCTGAGTGGTTCTGGGTCTGGTACTGGGTACTGGTTACTGATACTGGTACTGCTCCCTGGTACTGGATGATTGTGCGCACGCGCTCATAATCAAAGAGTCTACCCCCTGCTCCCTGCCCCCTACCCCATCGACCGTACTGAGTACTGGGATTTTATGATGGATGGAGCGTTGGCAAGTGATTCGCCTTGACGTTGATGCCCCATCAAGGAAAATTATTGCGTGCGCGCAATTAAAACTAAAATAAAGTTGCAAAAATATGAATCCACAAATTTGCATGCGCTCAAACACTGGACAATGCATTCATTCCCTTCAGCTGGATGAGTCACGTGTCAATTGTCTCACAAAATCCCTGAAATGATTTAAGCATCCAGTCTACCAAAACTGCAAATGATTTATACTTCCCTGCCATTTGCGACGGTTCAAATGTGGTTTGAGTCCAAGTCAGATGTGGGGAATCAGATATGCAAGAGAGGTTCCAAACATCAGTTGGAAATGTTACATATTTACCTTCCTAATAATCTGTTTCCTTTACCTATCTGTTCTTTATTATGAAATGTTTAGCAGTTTGATTACACAATAAATTGTATACAAATAAAAAAAACACAGCAGCAATTTTCTATCAATGGATGCCAAAGTTTAATTGAACTTTTCCCTTCAAACATTTCCACGTTTACTCATCCTATTGTACCTTTTCCATTCAATTATAGTTGTATTAAATGCTTTCAAAGGCATTCAAGTGTTTAAATTGGCTTTTGTGTTTAAATATCGTTTTATTTAAACCATTTCGTTTGAGTGATTAAATACCCTCATGTTTCGTTTTAAACATTAAAGCCCATACGTACTTATATAGTAGGTATATTGTGCCATCGTATTTTATGTTGCAATTTTTATATTCATCAACGTTGAATCAATTTTTTGTATCTCGTCCTACCTTTTGCCAAATAGTCGAGCAATCAAGCGTTAACTTTTCAGGTATTTTTTGTTGTTGTTTTTTGTCGTATGTGTCATTTATTGAACAAAAAAATGTTTCTTTTATTTTGAGAGCGGAAGCTGGTGGCGTTCGACGCAGAACCCCCTGGACTCTGGCGCTTAACAGCGACATTGTTGACATATCTGGACACTTGGATCGTATCGTCTCGCATCGCGATATTGTTGGCAGTTCCATTCTGTGTTGGGTCTTTTTGCCAGTGAATTGGTATTTATTTGCCGGATTCTCTTTTGAATTTATGGCCCATGCTCTGGGAGCATCGTTAGGCGCAGTGGAAGTGGAAGAACTGACTGACAAACAAGCCTGAAATGTTGTCAGCGATATGGGCAAAGCTTGTTGGCCATCATGCTGTTCGAGCATGTATGGAAAGGACTCCCATTCCGCCAAAGTGTCAAACATAATTCATTTAGAGAATTGTATTTAGTTTTGGTTGGAGGGTGTGGTGTTTAAAGTCTGGCGTTCTAGGTAGCAAAGGTATATACACATGTATTGGAATTAATAACTTTAGGGTATGGATATAATTTTAGGGTATGGATATAATGGGCGTTGAATAATAGAATAGCTTTTGCTATGGATGATAGGATACATTATATTTTTGTTGGTATTCCTAATGTATTTTGCACAAAAAATAGAGTTGTAGGCCTGGTTTGCACACTTTTATAATTTTTACTCGGCATCTACAGCTCTGGTTGTTGATTTAAAATTGTTGGTCTCAAAAGATATATTTACGACCATTAAAATGATTTTTGATTTGTGTTCATATAATGGTTATACCTGAAGATATATCAAGGTGTCTGCCAATTTTTTTGGGATCTATAAACATGATACATTTTTAATAGTACAAGCCAAATTTCAAATTTCACCCTTAACTACTAAGCCCTACTGGGAGAGAGCGGGGTGGTAGTGTCACACCTGAGAACTTTTTTCTGGTCGGTAGTAGACTTTGAGATCTAGTCGTCCATGAAGACATAGGCCGTACATTGACGTACCAGTTCTACCAGTTAAATACAAATTTAATATATTTTTAATTTTTGGAACATGCAAACTTTTAAATATTTTATACTATCCCTGCGTCTGCATCTTGCCAAACTTTCTGACACGTGATGGTCGGGTCCAGCAGTATCCTCCAAAGTTCGTATTGTTCGTGTGGCTCGATCATGTGGATGCTGATCGCATTGCGGATGCTGCATGGCAATAATGTGATGCGGACGTTGCGAAAGTTTTCTGCGTGCACTCTATTAATATTCAAGCTCTCGGCCATAATGCCCGTGGTGAAGACATCCTCCAGTTGCACATAATACGTATTGAGCGATTCCATGTAAAGCTCATGTACAATGTCTCCAGTGAGGAGGTAGGCTCCTCCGGTGGTATACTTTGGGAACTCGGCGCCCCTAAACTGATGATATGGTACAAAATACTTGGAGCCCATATTTCGTTCAGGCTCCTGCTCCTCGACCACGCGACCATAAATGGTTCGCTTATCCTTGTGCCCGTCTATGAAGTCCAGCAGTTTAGGAACATTGATGAACATATCGTCATCGGTCTTAAGGATGTACTTCACCCGGGGACAGTGCGTATTTACCCATTCAAGCATCGAGATCGTCTTTAGAGTGAGATTTAAGTACGAGTCTATGAAGTTTCCACGTATCATATCACCATAAATATAGTTCTCCTGGTTGAGAGAATCGTTCAGATCTACGTTCGTCGTGCTTCCGAGGAAAAAGGCCATGCCCACATCTCGCCTGCTTGCATAGTGCATCCAGGTATGTCGGATGGACATTCTCTCCATAGAATGGGACTGGGCTGAGGTGATCAGAATGAGCAGCTTCAAGAATGACCCCCAGTGTTTGCATATCTGACGTTGTTTATCGATCTCATCGTTGAGATGGCCAGGCTCATAGAGGCTAACTGTGAGTACTTGATGGAAAGGTAATACGGGTGCAGTGCTTGATTTTTGTAAGCTGCTCCTGCCAAAGGGTAGAGATCTGTGTGATTTTTTCTCTTTGCGTGCCTTCATCTCGTATTTGGCTTGGTATTTTATAAGTTTTCTCCGCATTATTGCCATGATATCCGGCTTTTCAAGTTGGTTAAAACCAGCCGAAAGGGCCGGAAAGTCCACAATTCTGCCATGGACAAAACTTAGTTTTTTCTCCGCCGATTTGATGCTCCTCTCTGTGAAAAGAGAATAAGCAGATGAGTGGTGTTCAAGGAAGCATTGTATATATTCGTATTAGTCTATAACAGTTAGTGTAAAGTATAATCAATAAAAGATATAGAACTATATATGCAAGCCTCTTTGAATTTGGATTTGACTTTTTCGTTTGAACTCTACAGAAACTTCTGTCGGGATGAACTTACCAGTGTGCTGATTCCCGATGGTGCTGGCATGGTGGTTGCTGCTGTTTCCATTGAGTTTTTCTGAAAATGAAAGATTCTGGGCCATCGGAAAGCCATCAACGGAATTTATATGCTTCTGTGGAATATTCACTGATGCCGAGAACGAGGCGTATATGATGGTAAATATGGTAGTGAGAATGACAGCGCTTAAGATCACAAAGAACTTTAATTTGTTGGTGTTTAGATTACCCATGTCACCATGGAATCAAATGTGAAGTTTCACTACATGGAACGTTTTTGTCACGGCACACTTGGCTCTACATTAAGATACCCGGAACACAGGCTCTATATGTGCATATCATTATAACAACATTACAACATGGACTGGAGCACCTTTTTAACATTACCGTTTACTGGTGCAAGGTTTACTGGTGGGAAGGGTACTTTACGGTGGAGAGGTATCCTACAATTTTTAGTGATTTTCTTGCAGATAAGATTAATATTTATATTTAAAATTGGGGATAACATAACATATTGATGCAGATGTAAAATATTTTCATACATTGGTATGGATGTCTAATTTATAGGCTTAAAAACTATTTTCTCTGGCTGTTACAGACATGTATACGAATTTCAACTTTTTAATGCTTTTCCGGTGTAAAAATACTATGGTAATAATAATTTCTAGTCATTTTTAAGCAAGTGCTAACGATTGGATTCAAATTGTCTGGAGAAAAAGTTATCTGAGATTCAGTAGTAATTTGCTATTATTTTTGACACACTCTACCCATAGTCTTGGATGAAATATCTCGTATTTTAAAATCAAGCGACTAGACGTATGATTAAAATATGACTCGCAAAGGGCTCAGAATTGATAAGAAATACGACTCGAAATGCTGGTTATACTCTTCATGAAGAATATAATTTCAGTGAAATTTCTAGCCAGTGCCATATAACATGAATCCGATTTTTGGATTTATAAATATGCTGCTTATGGTTCTTATTACTTTACTGATGGTTACAGCATTGATTCGTCTTCATGCACAGCGTTTGTATCTATTATTCAACTTTAAAGTGATTGAAATGCCAGAGAACCCTGTTGTCTCAGACATCAATTCCATCATAAAATCCCCTAAACAACAAAAAATCTACATACTTAAACACATATGTATCTACGAGTATCTGCAAGCAATCAAATTATAGAGCATTTTGAGACAAGTCTGGGGCACTTTGTGTAGTCAATATTTCATATATTATTATCGATTTTATACCCAAGTACACACGGACAAAGGCAAGTGGCACAATCATAACACATTCTGGCCCGGCTTGGCCACTAAAGATGAATATCTGACAAAACATACTGCCGCAGTAACAATATTTTGGTTTTCAGGCCAAACTTCATGGAATCACTGACTGACTGACTGACAGACTGACTGACATCAAAAAGCGATGGAGAATACATGTACATTTGTACGCTCATGGGGAGGCTGTTTATCAGACAGACATCAGAGACCAGGCAGGCCTTAGTTTCGCCAGAGCCCCGCGGGGCAAGCACGCGTTCTCCAAATATTTATGAGCGGCCACAAACAGAAGGAGGAGTCCGAATACGGGTACGAGTACGAGTACAAGCAGGAAGGTATGGTTTGGGTGGATTGGATTGGGGGACTTTGGGAAGTGATTTACCGACTGAGCTTCAAGTAGCCGAAGCAGCTGTCAATCAGCCGGCAATCAGCCTCCACTTTGAGCCTATAAAAACGTCTGCAGTTTAGCGGTAAAGCAAAATCAAAAAGTAAAAGTGGCTTACGGTACTCGTAAAACAATCCAACAACAAGAATTTCATCCATACAATATCATCATCAGGCCACAGCAGCCACACAGACCCAAAGCCGCACCCAATATAAACCATAACCAAAAATCTGAAATGGAGACGCGTCCGACTTCAGGATTGAGTGTACAAAGACAATTAGTGACCTCAAAAACGTTTTGCAGTTAAAGATTTTTTGTATTTTTATGAGCGATATTGCGAGCCAGCCAGAAAAAAAATGTTGTCTGCTGCATTTAGTTAATGAGATCTTAAACATTGACGGGCTGGATTTTCACTTCAACAGTCGCTGGGGCGCAAACAAAACGTGATCGGCCGCAGCCTCAAATTGTTTTTGATCCGCATATTTATACCTGGTATTCATAGAGTTCAGGGGTATATAATCTTTACATAGATTTATGCAATAGGGAGAAGGATCAACATAAATTATATTTGTTTGTATACATATTTCTGCAATGCTCCATGCAGATTCCCTCATCCTCTGTATATCCACAGTACACATTTAATAGAAATTAGTTTAAACTCATTAATAAATAAAAAATCAGCAGAAGCTATATATTTTACTGTTTTACATGCAGATGTAGATTATTTTTAAGTTGTTAGAGGGAGTCTTCCTTCTGTCAAAATATATCAAAAATATCATTCATAATGATGACGAAATGATCAATTTTTACAAACGAACATTTACTTTCCCTTTCAGATAAAGGTTTCCAGAAATGAATCGATTAAAATCATAAACAAACAATTCAAATAATGGAAAATGTATTCTCTTAAACCACTAAGCATCTGACAAGAGGGTATTCCATAGTCCATATATCCATTGTAGGATTCATACGTATTTTTAGGTGTGGTTTTGGTGGCTCCTTTCTTGGTTCCCCGAAGAATGGTCATCGAGTTTGTGTATTGGTCACGCTGACAATTTCTACCTGGCCACAAAATATTTCTTTACTTATACTCGTATATACTTTTTTTATTTTGCAGACCTTCAGTGAGGCCTAACGCAAATAAAATCCCCAAACAAATTGATGTCTTTTTTTTGGCGGGTTTCTGTTTCTTTTTGTTTTGTCTTTTTGTGAATAACACGAAACGAAACTGTCAATTGATGTCTTCGGCGCCGGACGAGGCAGCTTTTGGTATTTCCTTGGAATTATCTTAATGTGAAATCTTGAACTATGTTTGGGGCATGGTCACAAGGGCCAGGCCAGGCCCAGACCAGGCCAGGCCAGCCAATCCAATATATACCTAAGACAATTTTTAATGGATTTCGGTCTTGACATGACATGTCCGAAATGTCTTAAGGCGCATTTAATTGCAAAGTTTTGTAACATCTCGGACCAGAGACATCTCTGGAGATTGCGCCAGCCAGCACACACCCATTCATGTCCAAGCTATAACTAAATATCTAACATTTTCCTCGACGAACTTTAAGCTATTTGTGGCTTCTTATCTACTTTTCCCTCTGTTCATGACCACTCCTTAAATTCTCTATTATGCTGATTTTTCTGTGAGAGGTAAAACCCTTTTTGGTATCTCTCTGCGATTACACATAATTTTCATGTTAATGGCGGTTCGCAAATGCCAAGGTAGGAATAAAAGGGAAAACCCCTGAAACACTGACAAACAAATAAAAGACAAAAAGAATGAATAAAATAAAACGAAAGAAAAGGGAAACGTAACGGAACATATGTGCACTGACGTGTGCAGCAAAGCGGAAATCTAACCGACATACCAAACCGAAAACACACACAGAAGTGGAACTTAATGGAACACGGTTCTATTTGGGGCACTTAGACTTTCAAATGCTCTGCGAAAGATATGTACCTACATTTTGTTCCTTCTTTAGGCATAAATATACTATTATTTTCTATACCGTGTTTTGATCAAAGCAGAGGATTGTTTTGTTTCTCTCGTGTTGACTGGATTTCTAATGATTACAGTCATACTGTAATTTCTGTTTATCGGACTGTATATTTATTATCAGAAATGTTTAGTTTCACCAATGTATTCCTCCTCTTATTTGTACAAGTCTGGTTGCGTTTTTACCACAAAATTTATTTTATTATTTAAGTACAAATGTATAATTTTCAATTCCCTTATTATCTGATTCCCCCTAGAACAATTTCATGTGTTTATGCATAAATTGAATTTACCGTAAACTACATACATACATATTTATACTCGTATACATTTTATATTTCCCTTGTTTTTATTAGTTTACACACTGGTGGGAGGATAAGGAAGCAATACATCCCAATCTCCGTATCTTCATTCCGGGCTCCCGCACCACAACAAAGTTGAAAGCTTTAAAAGCGTAGCGCAGATTATATGGCCGAACTAAGTCTCATGACAAAACCCATAATATCCCTGCACGAGGCTATAAAAAAAGGGAAGAGCAAATGAAATGGCCGACGGGCCAGTGTCTGGCAACGAGTTTGGGACTCCGCCGCTCAGGCTCAGGTGTGTGTGATGCGGCCTACACAGACCAAACGGACTGGCATTTGTGAAAATAAAACAAATATATATATATATATATGTATGTATGTATTTTTTTTACAACGCTCGGAAACGGATGCGGATACGGATACGGATGTCTACCATAAACGAGCTCATTAGTAGGCACAATGTGCCGTGGCTAATGTGCTTCAATAGCTACCAAGATCAGAGCACATTCCATTGGCATGGCATTCCACGGCGATGGACTACTTAAAGTTTAACTTTTATTTTTTGGCCACAAGGAAATTGGGCAAGCTCGCCATTAAAACGAACTTTACAGCAGTTTTAAAGTCGTAAACACCCAATGAAATTTTAATGATACCGGGACAGGTTGTGGCCACGCCCCCAACACATTAAAGAGATAGCATAAAAATACAGAATCGGACGCCACGATTTTCATATCCTGTTTAAAGGTGAACCAGCGAGGAAGGATTTGGCGTTTGAGCGTTTGGATACTTTGTATACCCTTGAGGATTTCCATATTAGTTTGACATATAAGTCAAATCTTTCGTAAATATAAAAATTTATATATTTGTTTGTGTCTGCTTGTGGCTGTTGCATAAATTACCATAAATGATATATACCCACAGACTGGGTAACGGGTACAGTACAGAGTCGGACCGAACGAGTCTCGTATCCTGTTTAAAGTTGAAAAATCCTCAGTTTATTGATTTTCCGATGGTTTTTTTTCCTCGATTTTTTTTTGTCCTGCTTTTTCGTTTGATTTTGGACAGTTTAATGCTCCATTGAATGTTCCTGTACGTAGGAAATGTAGATGCCCCCCCACGGGATGTCCATGTTTATGCCTCACTGGCTCACATCCTCCCTCTCTCTGTCGCTCGCTGTGTTCCTGTGGAGGATGCACATGAGCATCCTTTGCCTACTTGTACTACGATTGGCAACTTTGTTTGGCAATAGTGTCTCCTCGCTGTCTCTTTTCCTGTAGGGATTTCCACTGGGGAGAGTCGACGTCGACTTTTCCCTATTTCTCTC